ACGAACTGATAACCTCCTCCTTTTTTGGAAGTCGGTTAAAAACAGATTAGTATATTTTGAATCAGTGACCTATATATACGACAGAAATATGAATGCCGTTCCTTACATCTTTTGACTAAAGACCAGTGCAATTATCAACAGAACAATTACATTTTGGTTGAAAAACAGATAAGTTTGAGAGTTGCCAATATTAAAGGGCTGCCAGAGAAGATATTTGACTTTGTCGTTTGCGTTACAGATTCTTTCTGCTGAACCTTGAATTTTTAACAAGAATCCGTCGTCTTCGACCATGTGCTTTGTGTCACTTGGGGGTCCATGCGCGGGCTGCAATTAAAATAAACGATTAATATTTTACAGGCATGTTGTTGACCTCATGGTACAATATATTTTCACTATTACCAAAGGATTTGAGAAAAATTAAATTTTCGACCCGCCCTAATGTACATACGAGTGTGTTTGCATTAGGGGTCTTCCCTTAAACTCGTAAAATCCTCGTAACCCTCTAAAGCTCGTAAATTTACGAGCCTCGTAAAAGAACTGTCAAAATTTGTATGGAGGTCTATTTACGAGCCCCTCGAAAATTTACGAGGCTAATTTGATGCACAAACGACCTCGTAAACTTCAGTGTTGCCGAGAGGCCGATATTTTTATACTAAAATGTATGATAAAATAATGAAAATAAATGAAAAAAAATAACACGCAAATAAAATGAATGTATTTCATCCACTAACTGTATTGACTTAAGTTTTCTACTAATACTACGAAACAAAAATTGCTTCTCAAAATCCTGGGATTACTAGTTGGGGGATGGGACAACTTCTAATCTTTCTTTAAGGCGTTTAATATTTACATCCCGCATCTGTGAAATTTGAATATTCACATCAACTTCATTTTCCTCAACAACACATACAACTGACATCCGACTTAAAGCATCTACATGGATCATTTGACCTCCCCCCCTATGCTTCACCACGAAATCAAAATTAGCAAAATCTAGAGTCCAACGTGCAATGCGAGGATTAATTAGTTTTTTTTCCAAGGTCAATACTAAAGAATTACAATCCGTAACAACTACAAACGAAATACCGTCCAAAAATGTACGAAACCGCTTTAAAGCATTTACGATTGCCAAAGTCTCCAACTCAAAGCTGTGGTAACGCGACTCAGCTTCAGTTGTTTTCCTTGAAAATTATGCAACCGGATGATATTTATTATTATCCTGTTTTTGCAACAGTACTGCACCATATCCATAAGAACTTGCATCCGTATGTAACTCCGTATCACGTTTGGGATCGAATATACATAACACTGGAGGCTCAGTTAACTTTTCCTTCAATAACGCAAAAGCATTCATACATTCATCTGTCCATTTAAATACCACATTTTTATACGTAAGTTTAATTAGCGGCCTTGCTATACAAGAAAAATTATGAATAAAACGCCTAAAATACGAAAACAAGCCCACACATCTTTGTATTTGCTTAGTATTTTCTGGCACTGGATACGATTTAATTGCTTCCAGATGACTCTCATTGGGCCGAATACCCTTCTCATTTACACAATACCCCAAATATTGTAACTCTCTATATGCAAATCTACACTTTAACAAATTCAAACACAACCCAGCAGCTGATAATAACCGTAATACCTCTGCTAGAATCTTAATATGCTCGTCAAAAGTTTTGGTAGCCACATTTATATCATCCAAATAAACTACAATTTTCCGCGAATCAACAAGTGGTCTGAGAATCATATTTATAAAACGCTGGAAAACGAGAGGTGCATTTGTTAATCCAAACGGCATGTAACAATATTCATATTGACCCATTGGTGTCACAAACGCAGTAAGGGGTATTGAACTTTCACTCATAGGTACCTGGTGAAATCCATTCTTTAAATCTAGAGTACTGAAATATGTTTTACCACCAAGATACTCCAAGCAGTCTTCAATAAGGGGCAACGGATAATGATCCCTGATTGTCAACTTATTTAAGGCTCTATAATCTACACACATTCTTAAAGACCCATCCTTTCTCCTTACAAGTACTATCGGTGACGCATATGGGGAACTGCTGGGTCGTATAATTCCTTGCGATAATAAATCATCAATTGTTCTTTCAACCTCCATTTTTTCTTTAAGGGACAATCTCCTTGGATTACTGTACACTGGCGTATCATTCTTTAGTTTAATTTCCATTGAGTAATTACCAACCCCCAGTTTGCCCCTAGTCTCATACATTGTTTTAATAAGGTTACGCATAATATCTGCATCTGCTTTATTCAATTGGATATCGATATTTATTAGATGTCCGACATCACACTCCTCAGTTAAATTTACAGCTAGAATCACTTTAATATTTTTAGACAAATCATTATAATCCACCAAACAAACCTCATCTAAACCTGCCATAATACGAGCCTCGCAACTCTTCATATCTAACAGAATATTCACTTCAGGGTCAACACCCTTTAAAACAATATATTCTTTTCCTATGATTGGAGCAGCCTCAGAATTACTTGACGGATATTTACATATATCAAAAAGTCGAAGGGCACTTATGACATTGTCCGCTATAGAAATTTTATTTTGATCATTCATTTTCAACAGATCATATTTCTTATATCTAATTGTCTCTATCTGACACAAACCAACTCCCATCCTTCCCAAAAGATCACGCCCCACCAACAACGGCACCACAGCCTCAGAATCTGGCAAAACAAAAAATTTATGTATTAATTCATGCCTACGAAACACGAATTTACAAGTAACAATACCACATACATTCAATCGCTTATTACCCATTCCACGGTAGCACGATAGTTTCCAATCAACATTTACTTCAACCGTTGCGGGCACACATGATCTTCTAATGAAACTGATAGGACTGCCCGTGTCAAACAAAGCCAAGAAAGAAATCAAGTCAGTGCACTTCTCCCTTTGATGGAAAGCAATACTTACCAAATTATTAGGAGCTAAACGTTCAGCTAACTGGCATCGTTCGGGTTCCTCATCATCTCCAACTGCAGCTGCCACCTTTGAATTATTTGATCCACCACGACGAGGGCAATTATGGCGAGTATGCCCAACCTCAGCACATACGAAACACGAATTTGGTGGTCGTCTCGGAGCTGTACATGCATCTTGGTAATGACCGTATTGAAAGCAATTGAAGCAGCGCACACTGTTAATATCAGCCTGACCTTGCTTGACTTCTGACGCAATACTTTTCTGTGTTTTTATGGTTTTCCTCTTTCTCTCGTATCGTTCCATCAACACTTTAAGTTCCCGAATAGACGACGCGCCATACAACATTGATACTGTAGACGTTTTATCATTTAGTCCTTCTATTATAATATCGACTAAATCGGTCTCTGGAATATCGGCTCGACTAGCAATATATTGCATTTCAGTTACATACTGGCGTGGCGTTTCTCCCGATTTGATGCAACGTGATTTTAATTGGTTGAAGATATCTTGCAGCGAAAATTTACATTGAAACTCATCTAACAATGCAGCTTTTATGTCCTCATATGAGCGCACCGAAATTATGTCAATGAATCGTCTTGCGTGACCACAAACCAAATGGCGAACAGCAATCAGTTTTTCACGATCATTACACTGAAGGATTTCAAACACATTCTCCAGCTCAGCAACCCACTTTTTAATATCCTGTGACTCAGACCCCTCAAATTTATTGATCAAAGCATACTTAAATCAAACTTGCGACTGCCCACTTGACCAATCTCTTGCTGCAACTCAGCTAGCTCGCGTTTCTTCCTAGCAATTGCCAGCATGCGATCAAGATACTCCTCCTCTTCAATCATTCTCTCACGTTCACGTCGATCACCATCTTCTGATAATTTATTTTCACCAATCTCTGGCACATTATTGTACACGTTCAGCTGAGCATCTGCATCTGTTTCTTCACTTCTGTTCACGGCACGACCAGCGATTACATCATCGTATAAACCTCTTAACTGGACCAATGTAGCTTCTTTGTCAAATGGGATACCAGCAGCAGCAATAGTGTCCATTACTTGTTGGCGTGTTAATAAATTCGCCATTCCAGCTGATTATTCCTGATTTATTAGAAAAACTGTCAAAATACGAGTCGCTTTCCAACAAAAAATTTTAGGTTGCCCGAACCCCACACCTGAATTGTAATGAGGTATATCGATTTACTATATTTTGTTGGATTTTATTTAAGGCACGTTGTACACTGTTTCTTAAAAAGTACCCAAAACCGGAAGTTGGTTTCCATTACATGTATTGTATGGTTGCCATATTACATTATACATAATTAATATAACACATAGTTGCCATCTCACCTACATACCTACGTATACTTCATTGATATAATACCATGTTTTCATACGATATGAAACGTATTACAATTATTCACTACAATACTATCATTCTTGTTATTAGGGACACGAATTTCGATATTTTTGCCATTCGATACCGATACTTTTTACTCGTAAGTTTTCAAACGATAGTTTTTGGAATCGAGTACCAGAACCCTTGTATCGTATCGAATCCTAAATGCACATGACAAAGTTAATGTGAATAATGATACATTTGTATGACAAATTATTAGAAAATAAAATGAAAACGTCGAAATTTAAATTTCTGGGAATTGAGCAAGACAATTTGTATAAAATTTTTTTTGGTAATATTTGAAATATTTAGAGTTAATTTTCCAAATTCCAAAATGTAAAAATTTGTCCTTACTAAAATTTCTATTGAAAGTTTTGTTGTTAATATTTGTTTTAAACATTCCAATTCTTGCAAATCTATGTCGTACTGTAACCTTCCTTACTTTGGAATTTATATGTAAAGCAATATGGATATATTTTGAGCTTTAAAGAGCAGAAATGTGAACTATCTTAGGTTGGTATGTGGCGCGCCTTCAGTGATGTACATACTTATTAAAGTGCAAAGTGTTAATTCTTTAATAGAAAATGACACCAATATTCGGATTAAATTTTTTGAATTTTTTATCGATATTTGGAATATCGAGTATTTTTATTACGATATTTTTACAGCCCGATATTTTTACATCGATACTGTAAATGAGTACTATATCGATACTTTCGATTCGATATCGTGCCCCTACTTGTTATCACATAGTGTTTAGTGTTGGACAATTTTGGCTCTTAAAATTAAAAAAATAAAGAAAATCATGTGGAGCTAAATTATAACTGCTCAAAAATACGAATTTGTGGTAGATTTCAGACCTTGTGTGGTAGATGTGGTGGATGCTCCAAAAAGTGGTAGATCTACCACAATGTGGTAGAAGTCCGATCACTGGCACGGAACATTCGAAGAAATTTCTTTGGCTTCTATTCAGAAAATTGAACGTAAACTTGAAATTTCTGTTTCAAGAGCGTGTGTGAATCGGTAACAAAAGGTCCATTCTTTTGCAACCGAGCTACAAAAGAACACTCGCTTAAATGACGAAATACACGCAAAGCAACAACACAAACTCGGCTATTTATCCGAGTTCAGCCAGGTCGGTTAAAAAATACGCGACCTGAAGAGTAGTGTTGTTAAGTGAAAAACTGCTCTATTGCAAATTGTTAATGGGAAAGTGGAGAGGAAAATTTTTGTTTTCGTATGTACATGATTTATATTTTAAATAAGTATATATATATTACGCAAATACCTTGCATAATTACCAATTTACCAATTGTTTTTTGTGTCTAAATCCCGTTGAACTAATCACATGTTTCTTGCCAGCTACCACCAGGATTGCTTAAGTAGCTAAAATTAAATTTTTTCCCGAGTTGAGCGTTCTTTTGTCGCTCGCTTACAAAAAAAATGCAGCTAAAGTTCACGGCGAGTAAATTTTTGACAACTATGAGGTGAATAAAATTTCAGTAGCTCATGAGGCTAGTGAAATTTTTGACAAATGTATAGAAAATTCTGAAAAAAAAATAAAAGCTTAAATTGATGAATTGCAGTCAATGATGGCAGATGTTTTCTTAAAATATTAATTTCACTTCAATTTGAAATATTTTATTCCGCATAAATTTGCGGTTATCAAAAATTTACTGTTGTCAAAAAATATTTCATTTAACACAGCAGATTAGCAAAACTGTCTCACTATAGTAAAAATATTATTCAACAGCTTTCCCCATAGAACTTTGTTACCGATTCACACACGCCCCAAAACACCAAACATCAAAAAATTACAGATGGGGAGTTCACAAGGTGTTATATAATGTCGTATTGTTGTATGTCGTAAATTTTAAAATCTTAAATAAATGTTTAGAGGACTTGAAACCACAACCAACTATTTTTTAACACTGAAAATTCATAATAAGACTTTTCTGGTACCTTGCGAATGCCTGTATTGTTGGCTGTTTGAAGTTTACGACAGTATAGTACAACACCTTGTGAACTCCTAAGCAGTTTTGCTAATAAAATTTAAATCTAAATAAGTATTGTTAACGCTTTTAAATTAAACTAAGAAAAAAGAAACAAGAACTACAATATCGCTTATAACGATCTGTCGCTTGTAACGAACGAATCTCCCCGTCACTTGGAGTTAGTTATAAACGATATTCACTGTGACTGACTCTAAAAAAATTAGCTGCAAATGTTAAACGGATATGACGATATGCGGTACAGATTTCCTTTTTTCTCCTCAAGAAATGTTCCCGCTTCGTTCCTAAACTAATTTAATAATGATAAGATACGAAGATACCTGTAAAGAAACATTCTGTCTCAGAGTCTTCTTGCGGTTAGATTCGTAATGACAGGGATTTTAAACAAGTGCTAATGGTAGGGTCACACCAGAATCTTTTCATATGAATGAAGTTTTTAACATTTGTTTGAAATTCTTCACGCATATGCGGTGTCAAAGAAAGGAGACAGATAATGCAACAAAAAGATCAAAATGACTAATTGTAAATTCCGTTGTTTCCCTTGGACCGCCGCAACAAAGCTGCAGCTCGTCCACAATTGTCCAGATGATAACCGAGATTTTAGATTTGGTCAGTAAACGTGACCAGATGGCATGGCTGCAGGTAACCTTTCTTTGGGGTTTGTTCACGCTAGATTATTTACAAAACATGACACTGGGCAGAATTATTCAAGAGCTGTAGCAGTTCATTCATACATTGGTATGTACACATGCTTACATATGTATGTATATTTTAGCATCATAAACATAACTAAGGGCATCTCAAAAGACACAGCAGGGAAGCACAAAATCATTAGCAGAATTACAGCAATCATGTTATGCCAACGTAGTGTGTAGAGTTTCTCTGGCACTTGCGCTTGTTATCTCGCTTTTTTGTACATTCAGAACACACAAACCGACGATCATTTGTACATAAATATGTACGCATCTACGTGCGGACGTTGATTGAAACGGTGTGAAGAATGGTCAGGGAAATCTTTGTGCAACATAAGGCGTGACTGGTAATGTCCAAATTCACCGGAAGCAAATTTGTTTCAAATAAATCCTATTTCAGAACGGTTTTTTCCTTTAAGGGTGTTTGTATTTCTCCTCGATCAAAGATTGCAGATTATTTCAAGTGTTTACTTGGCCAATAAAATTTCCTGCCAATACATACCAAGGTGTAGGCAAGCCAAAGAAGTATCCCTGCAAGAATACTACTAGTCAAATCACTTAATGGTTATAGAAATATTGGTAGCCTCTAGAGACGAGCTTCTATTAGCTCCTTAATACTGTTTGGAAAAACTACCAGAAACTCATTTGTACGTGAGAGTTTGCATCCCTTTTTAGCTCTTGCGCTTACCTCCATTTGTAAACATATACCTTGGCCACCCACACGCGTTAGCACTAAATACCTAAACCTACTAATGGATATTTATGTTAGCCCGGTAGAACTGCAGCAATCACGGGGCATTATCTCCCAGTTCATTGCGATTATTATACGAAACTGTCTTAACATGGTCTATATTCCGCTAGGCTCGAGAGAGACAAAAGTTTCCTTCATACCCAAGGCAGATAAAGAATATACTCTGGTTGCCTTTGTTGATATAGAAGGCGCCTTCAACAGCATTAATGCAAGCGCTATAACGGGTGCCTTAGAAGAGCTTGGAGTTGACCACAACGTAGCGGCGATGATTGAGTCTATACTTGTCAGCAGGAAGATAACCGCTAAGCTTGACCACCAACACCTAAGCACCGCAATAAGCAGAGAGGTCTGTAGAGACACTCCTCAGGGAAGGGTTCTCTCCCCTCTTCTCTGGAATGTGGCAGTAAACTCTCTGCTGAAGGCACTAGAGGGTTGCCACGTCACTACATATGCTGATGATCTGGCAATTGCCGCTAAAAGCAAATACCCAAATACCCAAAAGCAAATACCCAAATACAAAATAATAGAGATTGTGGGCTCTAACATGGCCACGCTTAGAAACTGGACAGAGAGTATACACATTGGCTTTACACCTCGGTGGTCAGGCCAATATTATTATATGGAATACGTGTATTGTAGCCAGCAACTCAAAAGGCAAGTTATCTAAACCTATTGAGTAAGGTCAAAAGAACAGCGTTTTTATGCATTTCAGGTGCCTTAAGGACTACCCCAAACAAGGCGCTAGAGGCGGTAACCAATTTGCCCGAAATAAACCTGGTGTGAAAATACGCGGCCGCCGATTCAGCGCTCAGACTAAAAAGCATGGCGCTATGGAAGGATCAGCGGTTCGGTCGCGCCTCTATACTTCACACTCTGGGTAGTTACGAACAAAAAGTGGACTACTCCGCCCCTAAACCAACCTTCGATAGGCTCTTTAAGACGAGCATCCCGTCAAGAAGAGAATGGCAAACACCAAGACCATGGAGGAGGTGGGAACTGAATTTTTATACGGATGGATCCAAGCTAGATAATAGGGTTGGCTACGGAGTTTTCTCCAAGGAACTAGGACTGGAATTAAATTCATTAAGCTTCGTTAAAAGGTTTCCAATATAAAGCACTTTAAAGAAAGGTATGCATGACGTTTTCTTATGGCCTTATTCATAAAAAATAAAGTAGCTTTATAAAAGGTTTATAAATTGAAAAACGTATGAAAACGTCAATTTATAAAGCTC